TTATAGTGGACCACAAGCTAAATATAAGTCAACAGTGTGATGCTGTTGCAAAAAAAGCAAACATGATTCTGGGATGTATTAGCAGGTGTGTTGTGAGCAAGACACGAGAAGTCATTCTTCCGCTCTACTCTGCACTGGTTAGGCCTCAACTGGAGTATTGTGTCCAGTTCTGGGCACCGCATTTCAAGAAAGATGTGGAGAAATTGGAGAGGGTCCAGAGAAGAGCAACAAGAATGATTAAAGGTCTTGAGAACATGACCTATGAAGGAAGGCTGAAAGAATTGGGTTTGTTTAGTTTGGAAAAGAGAAGACTGAGAGGGGACATGATAGCAGTTTTCAGGTATCTAAAAGAGTATCATAAGGAGGAGGGAGAAAACTTGTTCACCTTAGCCTCTAAGGATAGAACAAGAAGCAGTGGGCTTAAACTGCAGCAAAGGAGATTTAGGTTGGACATTAGGAAAAAGTTCCTAACTGTCAGGGTGGTTAAACACGGGGATAAATTGCCTAGGGAGGTTGTGGAATCTCCATCTCTGGAGATATTTAAGAGTAGGTTAGATAAATGTCTATCAGGGATGGTCTAGACAGTATTTGGTCCTGCCATGAGGGCAGGGGACTGGACTCGATGACCTCTCGAGGTTCCTTCCAGTCCTAGAATCTATGAATCTATGAATATTTATTATTAATTTTTACATAACCCTCTGTCCTCCATTTTTGGCATCAAGGGGTGGCCTGCTGGCCCACTGTTATCAGCTCACTTTACATCCAAGCAGACTCCTAGAACCACTGGGACAATTCACACTTCTTAGCTAGAAGCATCATCAAGTCTCGGTTGCGTAGAGACCTTTCCTTCACAGTGAAGAACTAAATCAAACTGTACAGCCAACCTTCACTAGCATCTGTGAGAAGAATGAACAGTAATAAATAAAGTGATAAATAAAGATACAGTATTATTATGGTTAAAGACAAGGCAAGACCCTTGAACTGATAGTTGGCCTATATTCTAGGTGCTGTTCTAGCATCTCTACTTGGATGGGCTCATGTGCTCAGGTGATATGAGCAATAAGATCCATTCCATTTTCATTCATTCACTCAGAAACTACTATATATTCGTGCCAAAGGCACTTGTGCATCGGCATTCTCATTGAAATCAGATACTCCTTGTGAAAATTACTTTTGTGCACTATGCCAACCATATCTGTAGGAGTATGCTAAAAATAAATTACTTTAGCGTGAGTGCGTGTATGTGTGTGTCAAAAATAACTCACCATAACCCCTTCCTCCTCTGTTGGATCTAAATAATTGCATCCACTTCATGGTCCCAATTCTGCAAAGTACTTTATCATGTGATTACAGTTCAGCACACAAGCAATCCCAGCACGACTCAGCAAAGCACCATTGGCTTCCCTGGGATTTCAATTAAGCATGTACTTAAATGCCTTGCTAAATTGGGACTTGTGTATGTCACCTAAGGTCACCAACTTTCTACTTGCACAAAACCGAACACCCTTGCCCCGCCCTCTGCCCTGTCCCTCTTCCGTGGCCCAACCCATGCCCCGCCCCTTCTCTGGGGCTCCATCCCCCACTCACTCTATCCCCCCTACCTCTGTCGCTCGCTCTCCCCACACTCACTCACTCACTCATTTTCAGCAGGCTGGCTCAGGGGGCTGGAGTGCAGGAGGGGTGAGGGCTCTGGCTGGGGGTGCGGTCTCAGAAATGAGGGGTTCAGGGTGAGGGAGGGGGCTCCAGGCTGAGGCAGTGGGTTGGGATGCAAGAGGGGGTGAGGGCTCTGACTGGGGGTGCAGGCTCTGGGGTGGGGCTGTGGATGAGGGACTTGGGGTGCAGGGGGGTGCTCTGGGCTGGGGATGAGGGGTTTGGGATGTAGAAGGGTGCTCCGGGCTGGGACTGAGGGGTTTGGAGGATGGCGGGGGGATCAGGGCTGGGGCAGGGGGTTGGGGTGTGGGAGGGGGTGAGCGATGCAGGCTCTGGAAGGCGCTTACCTCAGACTCCTACGTGGAGGCGCAGCCATGCGGCTCTGCACGCTGCTCCGTCTACAGGCACAGGTTCCTGGCCAACGAGAGCTGCGGGGGCAGCACTTGGGGTGGGGGCAGCATGTGGAGCCCCCTGGCTACCCCTACGTGTAGTAACGGGAGGGGTCTGTTTCCCAGGAGCTGCGTGGCGCGGAGGCTAGCAGAGAGCCTGCTAGCCCCACTGTGTGGCGCCGACAACCAGACAGTCAATGGCCCGGTCAGCAGTGCTGACTGGAGCCACCAGGATCCCTTTTCGACCAGGTGTTCCGGTTGAAAACTGGACACCTGGTCACCCTAATGCCACCACAAAAGCTAATGAAATTACACTGTCCAAATACTTTGCCACAAAATTTCCAATTACCGATTTAATCTATTTTAAGCTAGCCAGTACAAATTCTATTCCTGTATGAGAGCGTGGAGAATATACCATTTCTAGAGTCAGCTGATGAAGGTAAGGGTCTGCTTAGAGTAAATTAGCTCCATTTTATACTTGAATGGTTCTATCCTTGAATATTAATAAAAGTCTAGTAAATCTATTTTTTTTTAAATGTCTGTTTGCCTGTAGAAGGAGATCACAACTTCAGAAAAACACCATGCATGTCCACGGTGCTATATAGAGCTGGTCAAAATATTTTGGAATTCAAAGCTTCAATTACATTTTATATCCAAATTGCGACATTTTAAATTTGTTTGTGATTCCCCTCCCCCAACACACACTCTCTCTCTCTCTCTCTCTCTCTCTCTCTCTCTCTCTCTTCTCTTCTCTTTTTGACCAGCTCTGGTGTTCTATAAATAACTAATAGCAAATAAAAGTAAAATCATCATCCTCGTGGCAAATCCCAAAAGGATTTAGCCTCCTGGCAGATCAAGTGCCACCTGGACCGATCTTTAAATGGATCCTTAGGGTGCTCTGGCTGGTTGTTCAGTTTATGTCCATCGCTGGCAATCTTAGTGCACCACACAAATAATAAAACAAGTACTTTGTAACACCTAGAGGAACAGGTTGAATTGAAGATATTATTGCAAATCTAGGGTGAAATATTTATATACCTTAGCACAACCTTCAGTTGCAAAGAGTCTCCCAGCTCTCAGGATTTTTATCACAAATCTCATGATATTTAATATTTTTTCCTAAAGCCCCCGCTCCTATAGTCAAATGACTGCGTGAGAACCTCAGCTTTCAGTTTTTTAAAAGGAAATTTCTAGCCCTCATGGTCATAGAAAAGAGTTTGAAAATGTGACCACCCCCCCTCCTTCCCACCACCAGGCTCAAAAACAGAAGACAAATAAAAAGACCCTCACATTTATTATTTTTAACTCATAATTTTTATGCCAATCTCATGATTTTTGAAGACTTGGGGTTGGCAAAACTGCTGATTTATTTATTATAGGCAGAGCTGGTAGTGGTGCTTATCATTAAGGTTGTCTGACGGTTCCCATTATAGGACCCCATTTTCAGTTGCTTATCACTTTAACTGATTTATATGCTTATAACTTTATTATTATTTATTTGTATTACTGTAGCCCCTAAGAGCCCCAGTCATGGACCAGGAGCCCACACTGCTAGGTGCTGTACAAACACAGAACAAAAAGGCAGTCCCTGTCCCAAAGAGCTTATAATATAAGTATAAGACAGGACACCACAGATGGATACAGCTGCTGTTTATCGATATAATAATACCTAGTTCTTTTCATCAATAGAGCGTAAAATGGAGAGGTCAGTATCATTATCCCCATTGTATAGATGGAGACACTGAGGCACGGAGAGATCAAATAACATGTTCTAGGCCACCAACAGAGTTGAGAATAGAACCCAGGGCTCCAGAGTCCCACTCCAGTGCGCAATCCACTAGGTCACACGCCCATCTTCTCACAAACACATTATAGCAGATGCATAGAGTTAATATACAGGGAAGAGAGGACGCAGACTGAAAACTGGGATGAAAATACAGGCATGCTTGGGGGTTAATTTTTCACCTGCTCATATCCATTTTAGCGGCATGGTGAACAGTCATAGGTATCGCATTATCTGAGAGAGCACAGAAGATGAAAGCAGTGACAAGACTAGACGAAACAGGGAGAAGAGCTATCTGTCACATAGTGATGGCTAATTGCCAGCTATGTGCCACAGAGCGAAGGCGTGGCAAGAAGCGAGAACTTCTGTGAGCTGGAACCTTGCTGTCAGAGGATCTGTTTCCCTGGTGGTGGAAGGGAAGGATTTGAGAAGGGACTGAGGCAGGCAGATTGTAAACACAGAGCAGAGGGAAGGATGGATAACGCAGGACACATATGTTGCCTGTCCTGGCAGAATGAGGAGTAATTGTACAGCAAAGATCATCTACTGGGAGTGAATGGCAAAGTGGGTTTTCTGGAGCTCCAGAGGGCCAGGTAAATGTTCCCTTTGTTGTTAATCTGCTGGTTTGTGGTTGGATTTGTGTCTTTTACATATCAGGAAATGTATCAAAGGTTTGATGAATCTGTGCTGTTTCTCACTGTTTTATAAACACACACGCACACAGAGAGAGACAGCTGTCTATCTTAGGTTTTCCTGTGGTGCCGATCACCTTGCAGCTATATTTGTATTTCTTTATATATTGTATACAGACATGCATGATATGTATACATACCTCTGTGTATATAATATGTGTGTGTTTATTTGTAACACAAAGAGATGTGTATATATGCATACACATATGTAGCAATATATCTAGCCAGAGAAACAAACACACACACACACACAGTCTCTTTTATTAAAAGGTACAGTCCTTGAGATCCTTGCAACACCGCAAACTCCTGATGACTTCAGCTGGAATTTTGATTGCTCCAGGTAGGCAGAATCAAATTCCATTGTGCGGTTGTGTACATATCTGCAGCACAACACAAATACATCACTCTGTGCTGGTGGGAAGTGCATTGCAGTGTTTTGTTTTGTTTTATTTATTTATGTATTTTATTTTTGCTTTCATATGGGAAAAACTCCCAAAACATAGTAAATAGAATTATAAACTGTAGGATTAAATAATCCCAATAAATATATGCCTACCTTGTAGGACTGTATAATACCTATAGCGTTAGTTTAGATGCTGTGGTCAGTGGCACCAATAGATAGGATAGAGTGAAACAATAGCTTTGCAAAGAGAATGCGTTATTTGTCTCTGATTTGTCTCAGAAAACAAATATTTAAGGATCCACTCTTGCAGAGATTTATGCACACATGTAATTTTACTCACATTGAATAGTCCTACTGAAGTGAATGGGGCTACTCACAATGCATAAAGATAAGCATGTGGAAAATTTTTGAAGGAGCATGGTGTCAGTCATTTCAGGCAACAGTAGGCCTGATATATAGCTTGGGAGGTTTGGGGTTTAGTGGCGTTTTTCTTGAATCAGAAGTTTACAGGTTTAAAATTCCAGATTTAAAAAAATCACAAACTCAACATAATGGGAGAGGGAACTACATAATGTAGCTGAAGGATCTAATCTACACTACCTAGGTACTTATATGGCCCCCATCACCAGTGTATCTGAGCTCCTGGGAGCTGAGTGGTTTTGGCAGCTTACAGATAATATATTATGTTGCATTTAAATTAATCAGCTTTTGTCAGGTTTCTGCTGAGCTTTTGTAAAGATCGTTTGAGATAAAGTTTGTAATTTTTTGTTAGTAAACTGTGAGTTCAATCTGTATTGTGACTGTGTCAGAGGAATAATACGGTGTTATAACAATAATGTGCTGCTGTAACCATCCCCCAGAGCTGGCTGATTTTCCCGAGGTTGACATGATCTCAGAGGGTTGGGTTGCTGTGCTGTTTTGTTGAAGTTGTGTCTCCATTGGTTTTTTCTTTTTTCGGGTGATAATAAATGTGTCAAACTGCCAGGACTCACTAGTTGGGAAATCAGAAAAGATTTGTTTTGAAATGATTTTATGCTTGTTGTTAAATGGTGGGGTTTTTTATATAATCATACATGCACGTATATTCCGGTGAACTCCAAGGTGTTAGTGTAATTAGCTTTGAACTGTCCCTGGTTAGCTCCTTGAGTACTGTCCTTGATTAGGAGAATTGGCTGGAGTCTAGATAATAAAGTTACAATAATAATCCTTTACATTTATGCTGGATAGCACTTTATCCAGAAAGATCCCCAATGGCTCTTGGCCCTATATGTGAGATGCTGAGTGCCCATAGCTCCTGGGCCTACATACGTACGTTTCTCCGCTGAAAAGCAGGCACTCTTGGGTGTGGGACACTTGCCAGCAGGACCCGGGTGCACAAACAACAGCAGAGGAACAACTTGAGTAGAAATTCCAGCAATCTCCATCCTTTTTCAGCTCCGATTTCCATTTGGGAACAAAAGTACTATAGGATTTTTTAGCACTGGTTCTGACCCCCAACACAGCTCTGTGAAATGTGAGGGAGGGGCTTTAGAATGAAATGCGGCTCTAGTAGAGCCTCAAGGCAGATTATTAAATTTTTTTAAATCTTTTACTTATTTGTTGCTGCAATCTGGGATACCCCCCCCCACGCCCCCCGTACTTTCTGGATGGAGACGCACTGATCCAGCAGATCCAGTTGTAAAAGGCATCAACCTGAATAAAATCTCTCTTAAAATGTCCAGTTCGGTCTTTACACCCCCCCTCTGCGCTTGCAGCTTCATGGGTCCTCCCAGTGACATCACCTATAACAGCATCTGACGGCTACAGTATTATAGGGCTCACTCCTCTTTGTGCTGATCTCGGAAGCTGACACAGCCTGTTCTCTTCTTGTGTTTCTGAATTGCCTGCTTGGCTGGGAAAAGATGCAGGGTTTTTAACCAGGTCAGTGTGACAAAATGTGAATTAAGTAAACACACACAAAACAAAGAGAAACAGAACTGGGCACCATGTAGGGTCCCCCAGAATGCCGTCTGCCTCCAACGGGGATGGGTAGAACTCCAGGGAGGCATGTGGGCTGATCGCTGTAGAAACCCAGGCCAACGTCCCCGTTTAAAGAATAGATGTAGGCCCCGTTTGAAGCATGGTGTTGGCTTGTCAGATGGTTATGTACAGTAAGTGTTCATTAGAGGCCTGATTCGGCAAGGTACTTACGCACGTGCCTAGTGAGAAGCACGTGAGTCATCCAGCTGAAAGGCAGTGGGACTTTGTGTTTGAAGTTAGGAATGTGCTTCACTACCTTGCTGAATCAGTGCCGAACTGCGTAAGGCCTCAGTCCAGCAAAGTGCTTTGTGACTTCACCGAGGCAACGCACAGGCTTAAGTGCCTAGCCACATCGGGGCCTTAGCTTTTTTCTCTGGCTCGGGGCACATGCATGTGTAAAGCCTGCTATAGGGCTGCCCTTTTGCAATGCTGCTTTCCCTTCTATTCCATCTCTGCCCAGACTCCCTGCTCCTTTCCACGGTCACCGCCCAGCTGGAGAGCTTTCAAACAGCTAATCACCGTGAAGCCAGCAGGAAGTGATGCAGCCACTCGTTTCTCAGGGCATTCTTGGGCCTGGAGGGAAGTATGTGTCAGGTTGCTGCAGGGCAAAGGAGTCAGCCAGGCTGTGCGATAAAGATCTCTGGAGCGCTGTACACAAACCTGTCTTGAGTGGTAGGGGGGAAGCTTTACATAATCCATGTTTCCTCATTGCCCCATCATGTTCACCTCTTTTTGTGCACTGGGCTGTTTGCATCCTTGTTTCACCCTAAAGGTTGCTGCATTTTCATGAAGGTTTGCAAAGTGCTGGGAAAATTAAAAACATGGTGTACTGTAGGTGCCAATTATTATTAATTAATATTATATTCGGTGATGATGGGTGAAGAGTTCTCTAGGTATGTAGTGCAGTTTGTCATGTCCATAGAATGCTCTGGGAACCTTGCTGAAAGGGTCAGGGCCAGGTCCTTAGCAAGCATAACTCAACCTACTTCCATCAGACAGCGGAGCTGCATCAACTTACCCCAGGATATATAGTTTTGAACCCTGCCAACTGCACAGGTACATGTCATTACTAACGGGAGCCCACCCCTTCGCTCTCTCAGTTACTTCTAGAGCTCTGTAGCATCTCAGCACTCAATACTGCCCTTTAGATTCGCCTAGTGTTATCCATAGAGTTCATCATAGCTGATTCTGCTCTTCGCCTCTCCCAGCTTCTAGGAGACTGTCTTTGTTGCTGTTTCTTCTGTGTGGGTGTCAGAGGTCCCTTGTCACTCTTCTTGGCAGGAAGAATCTAGCAGACAGTTGGGTTTTGCAGCATGAAGCTGGATTAATGTAAGATCAATCTTATCTCTCTGTTAGCTTATCTAGCATTAAAGAGCTCTTGACTGAGAATGCTTTTTCTCTGGCTCTTGTAAGCTTCTCCTAGAATTATTAGGTGCATTGTCTCAGAATATATATGATATGGTAATGTACGTATTTAGGGCACTGGTGTAACCTGGTCTATGGGGAATTCTTATACTGGGCCCAGCTTTTTTCCTGGACAATTAAATTTCTCAGATTTATATTATGGAATCATAGAAATGTAGGGTTGGAAGAGACCTCAAGAGGTCATCCAGTCCAGTGGTTCTTAACCTGGGTAAACGGTACGCAGAGGTCTTCCAGGGGGTACATCAACTCATCTAGATATTTGCCTAGTTTTATAACAGGCTACATCAAAAGCACTAACGAAGTCAGTACAAGCTAAGATTTCATACAGACAATGACTTGTTTATACTGCTCTGTACTATACACTGAAGTGTAAGTACAATAGTTATATTCAAACTGATTTATTTTATAATTATATGGCAAAAATAAGCAAGTAAGCAATTTTTCAGTAATAGTGTGCCGTGACACTTGTATTTTTATGTCTGATTTTTCTAAGCAAGTAGTTTTTAAGTGAGGTGACACTTGGGGGTACGCAAGACAAATTAGACTCCTGAAAGGGGTACAGTAGTCTGGAAAGGATCTAGTCCACTTCTGCACACTGACAGATGTTTAATTGTTTTTAAATACCTCCAAGGACAAGGAGTCTACGCCCTCCCTTGGTAACCAGTTCCAGTGCTTAACTAATACTGAGAAGTTGCTACTTTTACAAGTACTTTAAAAATGGTCATTTAGAGACTCTTCTCCTTGTGCAAAGATTGATCGGGGCTTGTAATATTTACTCGCTGACCAATGCCAGAAAAGCACTGTTAGACCAGGGGTCTAGCAGCTGTTTTAAGGCCCAAAATCTAATAAGCCACCCGAACTAAAGCAAGATGAATGCCATATACTAGTGTTTTCTCATGCTGTAATCCCATGTTACAACAGACTAAAGTTTGGGAACACACCTCCCATCTAGACATAAAGGAAAGGGAGGGGTGATCTCAATTCTTCCACCCCCCAAAAACGTATTTAAATACTGAATCCAACAATTATTTCATGTAATTTTGAAAGGGACCAT